TCTTGAAAGACAGACAAAAAAATTTACAACAGCTTTTTTATTTTAGTAGATTTTTTCACCAATATCTTGAGTGGGGGATTGTATGTATGTTTGTGAGGGATGCAGATACACATGTAAAAACCCGATGGCAACAGCAGGTATACTCCTCAGTCATGCTCCACCTTGTTTTTTTTGAGACAGGGTTTCCCACCAGACCTCACAGATATAGCTCAGTTTGACCATCCAATGGCTGGCCATCCATCCCCATGCTCTTTCCATAAATGGGAATACCAGCATGGACTACTGTGCCAGCTTTTAATGTGCCTGCTAGAAATCCCATCTCAGGTCAACAGTGAATTCAACCTTCCTACACCTTTTTCCGATTTATTCAAGCCCTGAGCAGATTGGGTAATGTCCACCCACATTGTTGAGAGCCATCTGTTTCACTTGGTCCACCAATTCAAATGCTAATCATTCCCCCAAAATACCCTAGACGCACCCAGAAATAACATCTAAACCAAACATCTGAGCATCCCTCACCCAGTCAAGTTGACATATTTATCTAATCACCAGTCATCTTCACAAAACTTCATAGTTCCGTGTTTTAGAATTAGATAAGCGATACATTTTGAATTAGCTCTTGTAGCCCACAATTAGGAGGCACGCTGGTAATTAGCTGGATTTTCTCTGCTAAGGACTGAAGGTCCTGGTCAGCTGGTGGAAAATGTGCAAATGCCTCCAGTGAGAGGCTAAAATTACCTTCTTAGCGAGGACTATTTTGGGTGTAGTACAGCCAACAGTCAATCACAGGTAGCAATCTGGCTACAAGTGCTAACTAGTCTAGAAGCTACTTATTCCATTTCCAAATTCTCTACAGAGCTCCTAAACTGACAACAATGAACTTAAGTTTCAAAAGGCACACCAAGTTACTTTGGTACAAGATGTCACCGAGGAAAGAGTCTCATCATGTCTACGCTGAGCTCTAAGCCCACAGTCCTTCACCCCTGCCCTTCAGGACAACCTCTTCTCATCAACAACAGTTGACTTTCCAGGGTTCTCCTACCCAAAATCTGCCACAGCCTAAAAAGCTGGGGGTGACTTCATAACTATTTCAAAGGCAAAAAGTAGGTCTACGGAAAGCACTTGATCTATTCTCTAGGGGACATTATTCTTCTGGTGAACACACCAGATCATATCTTGGCTACAAAGAGGTGGGGATAGGCTAAGCAACTCCTCTGGGGATTTCTGTTGTAGTTTCTTCTCCAAACCAAATCCACAGAAGCACACAGTGAACATGGGGGGGGGGGGTTCGAAAGGTGGTTTGGGAGCTTAGGGATGCACACTGAAAAAGATTGTCCTTTGGGATAATAGACTTATTAAAAATGTATTAATGCCATGGAAAGACAGAATGGCAGCAGCTGTGAGAGCTCAGGCCCACAAAAGATAGCATGGGTTCCTTCTTATAGGTATCAGAAAAAGGAGGTTCTTTGCCACATGGCTGGCAATTAGTTCATTGTGCCTGCTTGTACTCAGGCTGTCTCTAATTCCTGGACCATGGGAGAAGGGGAAGAAGGGTTGAGAATGAGGGTCAAAGTCTTGTAGCTTGGGGCCTTTAAATTTCCTTTGGGAAAGTGAAAATTAAGGTGCCTGTCATTCTCCTGGAATCCAGGCACCTATGGAGTCTGTTAGAGGGTTACAGATTCATAGACAGGCTCTCTGTGGGGTGTCCATCTGTCCCTGTAGCAACAATGATCATAGAATCAAATATGAGGGTGTAGGTTGAGAGAGCTGCAGATGGGCAGGATCTGAGTAGCATCTGGTCTGGAGTCTGGGTACCTGGGGTGCCTGTTAGAGGATTACAGATTCACAGAAAGACTCTTGGTGGGAGGGTTGCCATTTCCTTCATGGAGAAAAAAAAGTAATCCTGAGTCCCTATTGCAGAGACAAGGAAATTGAGGCTTAGAGTTAAAGGATACTGCTCAGCTACAGTATCTGTCTCAGCCTTCAGAATCTCATTTATGATGTCCCTTTTGTCTAAACTGGCACTTTCCTCCCAATCTTCATTTATTTTTGCTTTCCTCTCCCAACTTGTCAGCCCCAAGATGTTCTTCATGCACTATTTGTGATGATATATTTAAGGCAATATGGCTGTCTACCTCTCCCTCTAGAGTAGTTCTCAACCGTCCTAATGCTTCAACACTTTAATACCGTTCTTCATGTCCTGATGACCTCCAACCATGAAATTATTTTCATTGTTACTTCATAACTGGAATTTTGCCTCTGTTAAGAGTCATAATGTAAATATTTTTTGAGACAGATGTTTGCCAAAGGGGTCAAGACCCATGGGTAGAGAACCACTGCTCTAGAGCCTTGTAGAAAAGTTAACTTTTGGTTCTTCAGTATATACACAATATCAGGCTCAATAAGTCATGCACAGGACATGCTCAAATACTGAAAAATAGGTAAGAAGACAAAGCTTGGAGGAAGATTTTCAGGGTTGGGTTCATTTACTCCTTTAGGTTTATTTGCGTCAGAGTCTTGGGCAGCACAGGCTAATCTCGAGCTCACTACATAGCAAAGGTTGGTTTCAATTTTCTCTTCCTTCTGCCTCACCTCCCAAGAACTGAGACTGCAGGCTTCAAGTTTGAAATTGCCACTGTCTAAACATATTCAGCAAGAAACTTTAAGCAGGCAGACCTAAATGCCTGGATCACAATAGAAAGATCAATGGCACAGATTGATTTAGGAGTAATAAAAATGTATATGGTAATTTGTGTGTTGGAACAAGAATATAGAAAATAAATTTAAATCAAGAGGAAATGGGACTAAGACTAACACAAAAATAGTGAGTTGGTCTCCAAGTGAGTTTCAGGACACCCAGAGCTACATAGAGAGAAACGTCCTCAAAAAAAAAAAAAAAAAAAAAAAAAGCTGAGTTTTGGATTGCTTAGCACACACAAAGCCCTGTCACCACAAACAAAACCTAACAGATAAACTGCCCTAAAGCCCTTCAGAAAGGTCTTCCCCCAAAAGCAAACTGTCTTCAGACTTAACTACAACTTTATACTGTGCCTTCAATACACTACCCTGCAAATTTTGAATTTACCAACATCTATATCTACCCACAGTAAATCCTTAAACCAGTTTCTGTGTACACATCATATACTTAAACACATACCTATGTAAACAGACACATTCTATTGGATGTTTCTCTGAAAAACCCTAACAAAAGCCCAAATTGTACTTTTTGTTTTTGAAGGGTAGGGAGAAGAGGTCTTCCTCTATAGTCTAGGCTACCTTCAAGTTTCTGATCCTCCTAGGATTATATTTGTACACCACCACACCTGGCTCCCAACAAAAAATTTGAAATAGAAATATAAAACCAGAGTAATCAAATGCAAATTTTCTAAGACGGGGGACTGGAGAGATGGCTCACTGTCTAAGAGCACTGGCTGCTCTTCCAGAGGACCAGGGTTCAATTCCCAGAACCCACATGACAGCTCACAAACTGTCTCTAACTCCAGTTCCAAGAGATCTGACACCTTCACACTAATGCACATAAGTTAAATAAATAAAAAAAATAAAAATAAAAAAAATTTCTAAGACGTTTAGGTCCACGAAGCGCCATGACCCATGTGTTGGTGTATTGCTCTTAGATAATACCTAGTACATCACAGGAATACAGTATGTGTGAAATGACCACTAGCAAACATATCTAACAAGAGCCTCTATTTACTTTCAAGCACTATGCTGAAAACTATTTTTCTTTGTTCACCAAGTTAATTAATTTCCACAACATCCCTTCAAAAAAGTAATTCTGAGTCCCTACTGCAGAGACAAGGAAATTGAGGCTTAGAGTTAAAGGATATTGCTCAGTCACACCATAGCCACACAGTAAACCAAAAATTCAAAGGTGGACAGACTGGCGAGAGGCTCAGTGAGTAAAGGCACTTGCTGCCAAGTCTGACAACCCTAGTGTAACTCCCCAGGACTCACTTAGTGGAAGAAGAAAACCAACTCCTGGAAGTTGCTCTCTGACTTCCACATCATGGTGCATGTACATAAATAACTTTTTTAAAAAATATGACAGCTTGACTATGAAATGTCCCCCCTCAATAGTCTCATGCATTAGGGGCTTCGTAGCCAGTTGATGGGGTCTCATGAAGGAATTGGATATTGAAGGCTCCAATATGACCAATGGTTTAATCCTTTGATGAATTCATGGTATTAGGAGGTTATTGGAAGAAGAAGGTGGTGGCACAGATCTTCAATGCCAGAACTTGAGAGGCAGAGGCAGGCGGATCTCTGAACTAGAGGCTAGCTTGATCTATAGAGTGAGTTCCAGAACAGCCAGGGTTACACAGAGAGAGACCCTGTAACTAATAAAGTCTCTGTATGTAATTTGGGGTTGACACGGCACTGGAACCAGGCTGGCAGGAAGAATCACGTTACAGTTAAGTTCCTGTTTGTCCTATATTTGTTTGGCCCATTTGCCCTGGATATGCCTGATCTTCTGTGGGCGGGAGGTTCACCTGCAGAAAATACGTCAGGATGTATGCTTGCCCCTGATTGGCCCTGATGGGAAATGCTGTAGTTGGGGGGTTTTTAAGCCCCTACAAACTGTGATTTGTGTCCATTTTCTAGGAACCCACAGATAGATCTGGCTAGAGAGACCATCAACCTGGCCATTTATCTAATAAAAGTTTGCTTCAAATTTAAGATCAGATTGTGGCAGTGGTGTTATTCTCCACCAATGGAACTAACAAGAGCACGAATCTCCCAGGGGGAGGCCTTGGGTTCCGTTCACTCAGAAACACCAAGTGCAACTTTTCATAGCAGTATCATTGATTTTTTTCTCACTGTTTTTTTTTTTGCATTAGTAAATTTTAATAGCTTTCATGATGTTTAGAAAACAATGTCTAAGGGCCGGGGTGTAGCTATGTGGTAGAGTGTCTCTCATGCAGGAGACCCTGGGTTGGATCCCTAGCATTTCAAGTCCAAAAAAGCACAAAAGAGAATAATACCAGGCAAAGCAAATGTTTCCATTTTACTTAACACTTATGAAGATAATGTCTGTCATCCATTTAATTCACAGTTGCAGGGGAGGGGAGGGGTGCAGTTATAAAACTGAGTATTCACAACAGGTTCAACTAAGCAATTTTTCTCCTGCAAAGGGGCCGTGGCTTTTAACGAAAGCATTTTGGACCTGAGGTGCTGCTCACAGTCATCTTGCACCTACACTCTTTTGAACTCCTTCAGATTGCTCAGCACATATGCAGCTGGGGTGTAAAAGGCCGTAAAGAACACCACAATTCCGACAGCCGATTCCTGAGAAAGAAGGAGGGTAGTGTGGTTGAGTACGGCTTCCTCAACCTGTGACTAACCAAACGACTCACAGGCAGAGGCGCATGGAGCTCAGCAGAGAAGCACCAGCTCTGGGACTTCAATGCGCAAAACTCGGGGTGCGTTTCCCCTCCTCACACACACAGCAAAGATCTTCTCAAACGAAGGCCAGAGAGAAGGCTCATCTGTTAAGACTTTCTACTGCTCTTGCAGGGAACCTCAGTTTGGTTCCCAGCACCCATGTCAGGCAGGTCATAACCAGCTCTAGCTCCAGCTCCAGCCTCTTCAGCCAGCCACACACACACCTGTAAAGCGTTCCATGAATTTTGTCACGAGACTTCAAAACAGGGTCCTGGCAACACTGAAACACCGGCATTCCATACATAATCAACCCAACTGAATTTTCAGAAAACTCAGTTTTCTTAGTTGCCAGCTTGAAGCTGTCCGGTATCTCCACCGTTTTGTTTGTTTGTTTGTTGAGACAGGGTTTCTCTGTGTAGCTCGGGCAGTCCTGGAACTCACTCTGAAGACCATGTTGGCCTCAAACTCACAGAGATTTAACTGCCTCTGCCTGTCAAGTGCTGGGGTTAAAGGGGTGCACCACCACTGTCTCCACCATTTTAGAGAAAATGCTTTGGTTTGGTAACGAGGCAAGTAAATTACCCTGGAGTGAACCAAGGCCCCTGAGTCTCCATGCCCATGAAGGAAGACCAGGTCTGCTCTCTCTTACACACTTACACACACACACACACACACGTCTGGGTGTCTGCTCTCTTTTACACACACACGTCCTGAAGGCATCTCTCTCATCTCTCTCTATCTCTCTCACACACACACGTCTACTCTCCTACACTTTTACACACACACACACACATGTCCTGAAGGCATATCTCTCTCTCACACACACACGTCTACTCTCCTACACTTTTACACACACACACACATGTCCTGAAGGCATAGCTCTCTCTCTCTCACACACACACACACATCCTGAATGCATCTTTTCTCAATCTCTCTCTCTCTCACACACACACACACACACATACACACATCTACTCTCTTACACTTCCTGAAGGCATCTCTCTCTCACCCTCACACACACACTCACTCACTCACTCACACACACACACACACACACACACACACACGTCCTGGGTGCCTGCCCGCTCCTCCCCACCCACTCGGAGCCGTTGGGCGGGCTCTCCCTCACCGTGGGCGACAGGACTCGGTGGCGTGGTCGTTCTGAGTGGTTGAGGCGACCTCCAGGCTTCAAGAGCAGGACGACTTGTTGGCGGAGGAGGGAAGGGCGGAGCAGCAGCAGGCCAGACATGGCGAGTCAGAAGAGGACTGAGTCGGGGCAAACCGGACACCACCTGTGCGGAGTGCGTCGAGAGCCGTTGACGAGGGTGGAGAAATGGCGGCCAGTGGTTTGAGCATGCGCATCAACCACGCTGGCCCCAGCGTTGATAGAATTTGCGCTTAGTTTTGTTTTGTTTGTTTGTTGTGTAGCCCTGGCTGTCCTGGAACTCAGTCTATGGACCAGGCTGGCCTTGAACTCAGAGATTCACCTGTCTCTGCGCCATCACTTCCCGGCTCCTGTTGTTTTTATTCCCATGTAAACAAATGTTTCCTAAGGAAACTTGTCAATTAAATTTAATTAAAGTTAAAGTCTATTTTGCATTTGAGCCTGGCAGCTCTCTCTTGACCAGCAGCTCTGTGACCGAGCTGGGGAACACAGCACTTTCAGTACAGACTTAGTTGCATTGTAAAGAAATGCTTCAAGGCTCCAGGTATCCGGTAGGTACTCAGCAACGTGTGACTGCTGATGCACTCAGATTTAAAGCTTCCTTTTGGCCCTGCCTGTTTTGTCCAACTATCTAATGACCCTTGGCTGTCCTTTCATGGTTATGAATAAGGCAGATTACTCGAGTTCTTTACTATTAGTAGCTTAATTCATACTGTTAGAATATCATAGACTGGACAGCTAATAAAAAAAACTTAGTTCTCCCAGTTCTGGAAGGTGGTGTTACTAGCCTGCGTGGGTCCTTTTTCTCATATAAGATACAAACCAAACAAGAGCTTCGTTTTATTTTGAGACAGGGTCTCCATAGGCAGTGCCCAGATGGTTCTCAAATTCTCAATCCTATTGCCTCAGCCAGCTGAGGACTGGCGTTAAAGGCATGTACCACCACATTTACCAAGACTGGTTAGTTCTAACGAAAAACTAAAAACTGAGTATTTATTATTATTCCAGAGTCCTGCAGATTGGCACAAGTAGCTGCCCTGTAGCCACAACAAGATGCACAGTTCTTCGTATGGGGGAAGGTCTGAATATTCATGCTCCTACACCCCCAGAGGAAAAGGGACCTGGGCACACTCACTTTTCACAAGTGCCTATTCTTGTGTGCCCACCCTCAGCAGATATCTTATGATGCTGACATAGTTCAGTGTTGATACAATGATCCTCAAGGACAGTCTTCTTTCAGATTTCCTGGCGTTTGATGGTCTTAATCTTCTGCACATGTACAGATCCATGTAGATGGAGTTTCTGTCCTGCCTGGACCCACCACCCTTCAGTCCCAAATAAACACACTGAGGCTTATGTTAATCATAAACTGTTTGGCCAGTAGCTCAGGATTCTTATTGGCTAGCTCTCTCTTAATTATTAACCCATAACTATTAATCTATGTATTTCCACATGGCCTATCCTCACCAGAGAATGCCCAGCATCCTATCTTCCCAGTGGCTATATGATATGGTATCTCTCTGGCAGCTCCTCTCTGTCCCCTCCCCAGAATTCTCCTTGTCTGGTAGCCCCACCTATACTTCCTGCCTGGCTACTGGCCAATCAGTGTTTTATTCATCGACCAATAAGAGAAACATATATACAGAAAGACATCCCCCTTCACATCCCTGTTTTTCTACCCACTTATTTGAGATGAAAAAGTATACCTGAATTCCTGTATCAGAGGGAGTCCACTACCTTGTCTGTTTTATTTGTTCTTTGTAGCCTTCTTGTTGCCACAAATGAGCCTAATGGTTCACCATATCATTAGAAAGACCAAGAAAGAGATAGTGTTGGTTTCTGGAGATGATTTTCCCATGATTGGGATTCAAGCCCCTGCTATGCTCATCTCTCAGATTCTACAGTAATGGTACAAGTTCTCTCTCACAAGAAGTTCTAAAAACGACCAATTGAGTTTGACAGAGAAGAGACTTATTTGCATGAATGGCTCTCTCTCTCTCTCTCTCTCTCTCTCTCTCTCTCTCTCTCACTCTATCTCTCACTCTATCTCTATCTATCTGTTTCTCTTTCTCTGTGTGTGTGTGTCTCAGTTACTTTTGGGGGGGGTTATGAGACAGGGTTTCTCTGTATTGTTTTGGAGGCTGTCGGTCCAGCCCGGCCTCGAACTCTGCCTACCTCTGCCTCCTGAGTGCTGGGATTAAAGGCGTGCGCCACCACTGCCCAGCGTCAGTTACTTTTTTATTGCTGCAAAAGGCATCATGATTAAAACAACTTATAGAAGATGTTATTGAGGGCTTACAATTTCAGAGGGTGAGTCCATGACTCTCACGGCAGGGGGCATGGCAGCAGGCAGGCAGGCATGGTGCTGGAGCCGGAGCTGAGAGCTTAAGAGTTCAGACAACAACCATGAGGCAGACAGAGAGAGAGAGAGAGATAACTGGAAATGGTTTGGACTTTTGAAACTTCAAAGCCTGCACATAGTGACACACCTCCTCCAAGGAGGTCATAGTCTCCTAATCCTTCCCAAACAGTTCTACCCACTAGAGACTAAGAATTTAAATATATGAGCCTATGGAAAAAAGCCACTCTCATTCGAACCACCACTGTGTATTTTATTATGTTTTTATATTCTATTTTTATTTATGTGATAATACACACACAGCCATATATATTAAGGCAAGAGTCTTGCTATATAGCCCAGGCTGGCCTCAAACTCCCAGGATTGTCCTTATTTAGTCTTTAGAGAGATGCTATTGAGGGCAGGTGCCATGATACCCAAGCCATGTTGGGGAAGTCCTGTTATTTGTCAATAAAGCACTGTCTGGCCAATAGGGAATCTAGATAGGAGGGACTAGGAGTCCAGAAGGACTCTGGGTAGGAGAAACATAGGAGATTCAAGATGTAACGCCATGGGGTAGGAGCCCGGAACTATTCTCCGGTAAGAAACATACTTAGATTAACAATTATGGGGTAATTACTTAAGTCAGAGCTAGCCAGTAAGAAACAAGCAAGGCCAACAGCTTCATAATTAATATAGCCTCCTGTGTATTTATTTGGGACTGATGCGGTTCTAGAACCAGGCTGGCGGGAAGGCTCCTCTCAAAGAAAAAGCTTCTTTTTACACAGCCACCTTGTTTTTATTTATTAATTTATTTATTTTGGTGTTTTCCCAGACAGGGTTTCTCGGTATTGTTTTAGAGGCTGTCCTGGAACTCGCTCTGTAGACCAGGCTGGCCTCGTACTCACAGAGATCCGCCTGCCTCTGCCTCCCGAGTGCTGGGATTAAAGGGCCACCTTATTTTTATATTTGTTAGTTTGTTTGTTTTGAAGAGGCATGTATGTCATGGCCCCTACATGGAGGTCAGGGAAAAACTTGCAGGACTCAGCTCTGTCCTTGCCTCCTGTAGACTTCAGGTGATTAAGCTTGGAGGAAAGTGCTGAGTCATCTCCCCAGTCCCCATTTTTAATTTGACTGATTTATTCACGTTAGTTCTTTTTGAAATTGTTCAGTGTATTTCGACCTTATACATTGCCCTTCCCCAGCTCCTCCCACATCCACCCCTTTCATTACCTGCTCAGCTTCGTGTTGTCTTTTCTGTCCCTCCCTTTTCTTTTCTACCCATCAACTCCATACAGCCTTGGCCGTGTGGCCTTCCACTGGAACTTGGAGAAACATTAGAGAAAATCGACTCACCCTCTCCAAAGGGCACCTGTTGGGATTTTCAGGTTCTTTCTTAAAAAGAAAGAGAAGAAAAAGGCTCCGTGGCCCATCTGCAAAGGAGAGCTTACACATCAGTTCCTTCAGGGGTGAAGTTCACTATAATGAAAGGCTCTCGTGGCCATGAGCACGTCTCCAGGTAGGAAGAAGAACTTTAGAAACAATTAAAATAGTATGCAGAAGTCTAAGCTTGGGGAAACCTTAAAGGGAATAAGAGGCTTCTCTTTAAGGCCTAGAGAGAAGCTCGGGGAGGGGGTGGAGATGAACCACCCACCCTGACAGAAACCGAGGGTGGAGTGGTGGTGCTGCCTCAGGCAGTCTACAGAACACGCAAGTGTCCCAGTGGTGTCTTTGTACCAATCCCTAGAACAAAGGGAAGGTCTGCCTTGTACAGCCTTTCAAGGATGGTGGAAGTGTCACATCACTTGGCTTAGTTCACAGTAGCATATGTGACAGGGAGCTGTCAAGTTACAGCCACATCTCCCTTCTAACTCTCTGTCCTAGAGACGGTGGCAGGGAGATGTGGCCTCATTCAGGCCACGGGATCTGGCTTAAAGATGGAGGCTGGTGTGTCCTGGAACAAAGGATTGGTGCAGAGACGTGTGAGATTGTGGTGGAAGCAGAGACAGTTTATTAAAGGAGAAAAGCACTTTTCATATTAGAAGCAGGCCAGCTCAAGAGAAAGGTCAAAGTCTCAGTGGTCCCTGCCTGGAACCTGTGACCTTTTTAAGAGTTAGTTCCAACACAGCCTCCAAAGTCACTGAGAAACCCTGTCTGGAAGAAAAAAAAAAGACATTTACATTCTCTTCATTGTTTCTGCACATGCTCTGTTTTGTTTCATAAAGGTCCAGTCTTTCTCTGCAATGGTTTCTTTCATAAGCTAATCTTTCTAAAAGTCATTTATTTTTATTTTTTTGTGCACCTATGTGTGGGTACCCATGAAGGCCAGGAGAGAGTCAGATCCCCTGGAGCTGGAGTTACAGGCAATTGTGTCTTCTGCAAGGAAAGTAAGTACTCTTAAGTACTGAACCATTTCCCCCAGCCCGTCATGTGCTAATTTTGATGCCTCTCAGCCTCCATCTCCATACTACTGTCTTTCCTCACTGATGCTGAGGACAGCAGCATGCACCTGCAGTCCCAGCATGCACCTGCAGTCCTGGCTAATAAGGAGGATGAGGCAAAAGGATGCTTGAGCTCAGGAATACAGAGCCATTCGGGGCAATATAGTAGGATCAAGTCCTTACAAAAACAAAACAACAGCCAGATGGTGGTGATACACACCCTTAGTCCCAGTACTTGGAAGGCAGAGACAGGTGGATCTCTGTGAGTTCAAGGCCAGTCTCGTCTAAAGAGCAAGTCCCAGGACAGTCTCCAAAGCCACAGAGAAACCCTGTCTTGAGAGAGAGAGAGAGAGAGAGAGAGAGAGAGAGAGAGAGAGAGAGAGAGAGAGAAGCAAAATGAGGACAATG